ATACGACACACACACACACACACACATATTCAACACGCGCGTGCCCTAAAACAAACAAACCACACGCGCACACACACGCACACGCACACGCACACGCACACGCACACGCACACGCACACGCACACGCACACACACACACACACCCACACACACACACACACACACACACACACACACACACACACACACACACACACACACACACACACACACACACACACACACACACACACACACACACACTCGCGCGCGCACACATACACGAAACTTCGAAAAGGCATTTGCGAACAGGTTTAATCCAAACAAAAAAACAATGCAATCCGACATTTGAAGCCATTTTGATTGACCAAATATGTATATTTTACTGTTTATCATTTAGCGGCCATGAATAAGACCCTTGTTTGTATAAATAAATACAAACACATTTAACTCAGGCTGTACACTGAATATCAACGAGATGGCGAGCGTAAAAAAAGAGAGACAAAAAATTGTGTTTTAGATATGCAATGCCGGGAAGGTTAGCTGGGTACATGGAAGACCAGGAAAATTTATCTAATAATTATGTTTCATTGTACACTGAATGAGATATTAATGGTTATCACCTCAATTGAATTATTATGATTTATTTTACTGGCTGCATTTTGCTTTATCCTTCTTTGATATATTTTTTTTTGTCTTTCGTTGTCGGGAACCATTTACCAGCTTATTCGGTTTATGTTTATATAAGGGTTAGATATTTAGTTCGTCTGTCTGTTTGTGTCAGTGTCTGGTAATGTATGTTTTGATTTAGTTTTGTCATTTAATTACCTCTCTGATTAACTACACAGTAATGATACATTTGATAAACACTAATAACATTAGATTACAAATTAAACATACACCATAACGATTAGTGTATCACATGAGATATGAATAACACATTAACATGTCTTTAAGTGCGTAGCCCCCACAGCGCGTGAGGTAACGAAAACAACGCGGGATATTTATCACCTTTTGGCCCGATTTATTCTCTGAGCTCACGGGAAACTAAAACAAACTGTCTCATAGATTTGGTTCTCTAGCTGGAATTACATTATGGTAGGGAACCTGGTCGTATTTCTTTGGCGAATTTTCTTGCTGCAGTTATATTCACTTTATTATTATGACAGTTTTGTTTTGCGTTAACCTCATCATTGCGACAGCCATGTTTTGTTGACGGAGTTCCATGATCAAACTTTTTTTTTTTTACCTCGATACTACAGGAATGTCACTCATCCTGCTCATCTTCGTTGTTTTTTTTATCCAATTGTCCTTCATTCTTCTTTATTATTATTTTCCCTTTTTCGTTCTTTGGGGGTAGGGTCTAGTTACAACTTTTGGAAAAACGGAGATATTTCCTTAGAATTCTCCTTGTTTACTCCTCTTTCTTTCCCTCTTCCATTTTTCTTCCTTCTTTCTGAGGTCGCCATGCAGGAATCTTATAGCTACAGGTCATATTCGTAAAAACTACGGTGATAAACATTATATATCTTACGGCTGAAAGGCTCCCTGCCCCCTCTCTCTCTCTCTCTCTCTCTCTCTCTCTCTCTCTCTCTCTCTCTCTCTCTCTCTCTCTCTCTCTCTCTCTCTCTCCTCTCTCTTTCTCTCTCTTCTCTCTCTCTCTCTCTCTCTCCTCTCTCTCTCTCTCTCTCTCTCTCTCTCTCTCTCTCTCTCTCTCTCTCTCTCTCTCTCTCTCTCTCTCTCTCTCTCTCTCTCTCTCTCTCTCTCTCTCTCTCTCTCTCTCTCTCTCTCTCTCCCTCTCCTCCCTCTCTCCCTCTCCCTCTCCTCTCTCTCTCTCTCCCTCTTTCCTTTCCCCCCAGCGTTGCGCATGACGATCGTCAGTTTCCCGACATGTAGGTGAGGCGGCGGCGGTAGCGGTGGCGAGAAACACCTGCTGAGTAGGTATCAGGGAGGTCCAGTCGCCTCCGCAGGTCGACGCTGGACTCTGACGGTTGCCTGTGCTCGCCTCAGCACATACGCCTCGGATCAGACGCTGATGAATATGCATGACACTCTCTGGTGTCTCTGCAGCCGCCGCCGACCTTGCACGAACTGGATGTTTCGGAGAGAAAGATTTGTCGTTGTGTTTCAGTGTATTTCGTTGTGTATATATATATTTTTTAGCTGGAGTCGTTCTCTCTTCTTTTTTTTCTTCTCTTATCTTATATTTATCTTTTATTGGCTCTCCCTTTTTAGTTTTTTTATATCCAGGAGTTTATAAGGGGAAAGCATAAGCAGAGGCTGACGCTGCAACTACGCCACACAATCGCCCCGATAAACAACAATTCCTTCGGCTTTCATTGCGAAGAGAGACAGATATAAATGGATAAACAAATATATTTTTTACACGACTCTAATCATAAGCAGTAGCATGTGGAAGGGGATGAAAGAATAAATTTAAAGCCATAACAAGGAAAAAATCTTAAACGTAAAACGAATTCCTTTTGCGTCTGTGACCGGGGCGATTGAGAGACACCAATAGCATCGGGCTGAACGGATGACACCGAGCTTTCTCCCTCCGCGTTACAGGTGTCATGCGACGTCCCCCCCCCCTGCTGCACGGGTGACATGACACTTTTTCCCTCGAGAAGCCCAACAGATGACTTGCCAGAGTAACGTAGCTTGGCCCGCACCGCCTGTTTCATCTGTTTGGCGCGAGAGATTTTTTTTTTTCGCTTCTTTGAAAGACTTTCGGAATCTTGAAAGTGTCTTCGGAAATCCGGAATGTTTATTACTGATTATGAAAATGGGTGACCGCAGAAAACCTCAAAATAATCTATGTAAATCTTCCATTAAACGCCCACAGGCAAGAACATGCAAGAACGATTTAAAAAAATACAGCACGGGAAAAATCGGCCAAAGCCCCCCCCCCCCCCAACACAAACCCTCCCCAAGAATAACGATGGGGAGGGGGGTAAAGAGGGGACTGAAAACTGCCCATTTCTCTCTTTGCCCAAAGCGAGACACAACCCCTTGCATGAACAACTGACAAAGATACGATCGCACAGAACTCGGGTGACTGGCTGGTAGAACTAGGCAGAGACTGGTAGGTGACTGACGGCAGCCTAAGCGTTCTTGACAGCCTAGGTTAAAGGCTGGATGACTTGTGTGACTGAATGGATGACTGATGGAGTGCGAGAGAAGGCTCGGGTGCGTTGAGCAACTTTTCGGATGAGAAAACACGAGGACTTGTTGATTACAGATGTTGGTGAGGTTGATGGATCGTCGGCGGCGGTGACGTCACAAGTGCCACATCGTTTTTCACTCGGAAGAAAACGGGTAGACTTTAGTAAACACGAATTTAAAGGATGCAAGTGATGGTAATGATAGGAATGCGGTATAAAATTAGATATGTAATGTTTTGCTTATTTATTTACATAGTTATTTTCTTGCGCATGATGCTCAAATCAGGGCAAGATTGCAAATACTACTTAACACATCCGATAACGGTATTTAAAGTAAAGAAAGAGAGAAAGAAAATCACAAAAGCGCGTGATAAATCTACATCAGAAAATGTCAAATACAAGAGAAAATGGGTTCAGATTAACAGGCAGGGGTAACTGCAGCAATCCAGCAGAGCGTAACTAGTTCATTCATGTTGTAATGGCAGGGTCGAAGAATGTGGTTTGACAAGTCGAATGACAGCAAGTGGAACGTGTGCATGCACGCAGTGGATGAATCATATGATTGAGACCCGTGTTAAAAGTCCATCGTTAAAACGGTAACTTAGTCGAGCTGTTGATTAATCAGTCAGTCTGCTGGTTTAGAGAAAAAGAAGATTAATTACACAAGGTAATACCATGACAGTTGCATGTGATGAGAGGCATGACTCCAAATACCAGATACGTTCGGTAAATGACCTGATATCGTAATGAAAGATGCGCATTTGTTGCCAGAATTGAGCCTTGACTTCCTAGGAAGGAAGGGCGGATGGCACATATGCTAGGTCTCAAAATGAACGCCTATTGCTGTATGTTGAACAACGGACGCACGGCGGCTGTGCTACACCGACTGACTGGCATGAGCGTTGGGAAATTATATACAGCAGATGAGAAATGGCACAGTGCCAAGGGTATGATGCGGTGACAGCGGAGCGGTGGTATTTTGACGGCAGTAGAGTGACGCGGAGAAGAAAGAACAGGTGTGAAATAACAGAGTGTCAGGCAACAGACAAATTACTTGGGCGCTGGCAGAGTAGCCTGGAAGTGACGGAGTGACCGCGAAGCGCTGAACTTACGAGGAAATGGCAAAATTTATGGGAGATGACAGCACCTGGGGAGCGAAATGACAAGAGTGGCGGGGAGATGAGATTATGGCCGGGAAATGACAAGCCGAGAGATGTCAGAGTAGCAGAAGGCACTGACGCAGTGTCCGTGGAATGAGAAAGTGTCCGGGACATGACGAGGGAGCGCCCGTGAGAAGCGGGAGTGCGAGGGAAATGACTGGGCGTCTGGGTGGCACACATTGCCTGGGTGGCAGCGAGCGGGCGTCATTGTAACGCTGCTCACGAGCCGCGGTGTGTGGGCCTCGTTTCTCCCCGACGCGCTCTGTACTCCTGCCATCTCGCTGCAGGATCGCGCCGCCGTCTTGGACATCTTTCGTTCCTAAGCCTCCTCGGCGCCCTCGCGTTCTGTGAGGGGGGCGGGGGGGGGCGAAGGCCATCCGATCCGCGAGAGAGAGAAAGAGAGGCAGAGAGAGAGAGCGGGAGAGAGGAGGTCTGAAGGCGAGGATAAATCGAAGAGAGACGAAGACATTCTCCGCACGACCCACCATCTCTCCCGCCTGGTCGTCGCAACCTGTTCCGTTGATGATCGAATGCACGACCCCCGTGCCTCCGAAGGCGTCGCCGACCTCGCCAAACGACAGCATTCTTCACAAATTTTCCCCTGGTGACGAAGACGCGAGAGAGCGCGGCGAGGGAGAGCGTGTTTGGAGAGGCGGCTGCGCGGGTGGCCATTTTGCGCCGTCGGTGGGGTGGCATCATGGCGGCGGCGGCGGTGGTCAGTAACTTATGCACCTGCCTCCCCGGACCTCTCCTGATGCCGCCGCCGCCGACTCCCTCCTCGCCTCCCTCGCGCCCGCTCCGCCAGGCCTCGCGCCCACTCGCCTCGGCCTCCCTTGGCCACTCGCCGGCACGAGCACGGGCGGCGGGCTGCGGCAGCGGGAGGGCGTCGGGGACCGGCGGCAACCGCAGGAGACACGCAAGGCCGCGGCGACGGACGTGTGAGGGGGACCAGGCTCTTGGCGGGTCATGCACGCCTTCGCACGCCCCACAGGGACCCACTCACCTCGCTCACCTTGCCGCGACTCGGCCATATGGCGCTGCGGCCGCGGCCCCTTCGCCGCCGCCGAAGACCCGAGGGACGCCGACGCCGGGGCGCTGCGCGGGAACGTCGCCGTCGCTCGACTTCCAGCATGACCTCTGCCTTGGTCGCTCTAGGTCATGTCCGGAGATAGAGGAGGCTGATCTCGTCGCCTGCCCGGGAGGGGCGAGGCGCGCATTCCTGGCCCGTGTAACATTCCTTAAACAAAACATTTTTGACTCGGTTTCACGACAGCCGCACAAACACGCAGAGGGAAGTGGCGATCACTCCAGTGTTTTCTCGTTCTCCTTTTCGCCAAACGGATTCATTGCAGCCCGTCTCCTCGGCCCTGTCCGGGGGCGTCCGAATTCCTGGCCCGGAGATTTTAACATCTTTATCGTAGGTTAAGGTCACCCAATTAAACTAAATGCCATGTTGTGTCTCCGGTTAAAGTAGCGGACGCCCTTTTACGCCCCGCCGAGGTCACCCTCTCCTGGCCAGCGCCCGGCCATCGTCCTTGCTTTGACGCGCCGCCGACGCCGCGCACATCTATCAGCAGACCGAACGGCACTCGGCGCTAGGTCGTGTCTGGTCAGTGTCTGTACGAGAAAGGGAGATATACAAACACGCACACGCACACACGCACGCACGCACGCAACACACACACACACACACACACACACACACACGCACACACACACACACACACACACACACACACACACACACACACACACACACACACACACACGCACACCAGAGACAGAAACAGAATAAGAGAGAGAAAGAGAAAGAAAGAAAGACAGAGTGAGAGACAGAGAAAGGGCCAAGCACACCGAAGAGAAAGAGAGAGGGGGAGCCCACAGGAGCGCAGGGGAGCGGGTCCCCCAGCGGCCCGCGCGCGATGGCCCGCGTTTCTTGGACGGCGACGAGCACCGGGCCAGAAGCCCCCGACGGCAAGATCCCCAGTTAGGCTGCGTTCGGCGGGCGAGCGCGGCTGAGGCGGGGTTGCAGCCGCGCTTATCGCCGCGCTGGGGCTGCCGATGCTCGCCTTGGGGGAGGGGGGGGGGGGGGGGGACAACGTGCTTCGTGCCTGTGTTTGGGAATGCTGGTTGGGGAGGGGGAGGGAGGGGGGGGGGGTGAAGGAATCTGTGATTGGGAGATTTGCACTTCCGCTGGAATGGTTGAGATGCTAGACTCTTTCTTTCTTCTGTCTTTGTTTTCGCTCTCCGGTTCTTTTCTCTGTCTATCAATATACCTGTCTATTTCTTTCCCTCACACACACACGAACGCACGCTCGGCGACACACACACACACACACACACACACACACACACACACACACACACACACACACACACACACACACACACACACACACACACACACACACACACACAACCACACACACGCACACACACACACACACACACACACACACACACACATAGACATCTGTCTCCAAACAAATTTCCATCTGGTAACCGTCCGTTTCGGGAACTCCACCTGAAGCTCACTTCTCTCTGCTCGCAAGTTTCCCTCGCGCGCTCGCTTTCGCCTCGTCTTTTGGGGGGAAAGAGGCAGGCAGGCAGGCATACAGGCAGGCAGGTACACAGACAGACAGACAGACAGGTAAGTACACAGACAGGCAGGTAGGCAGGCAGGTAGTACACAGACAGGTAAGTACACAGACAGGCAGGCAGGCAGGTACACAGACAGCAGACAGACAGACAGTAAGTACACAGACAGGCAGGTAGGCAGGTATACAGACAGACAGGCAGACAGATAAGTACACAGACAGGCAGAAAGGCAGGTACCCAGACAGGCAGGCAGGCAAGTAGGTGCAAAGATAGACATGCAGGCAGGTACACTGGCAGGCAGGTACACAGACAGACAGGAAATACAGACAGGCAGGCAGGCAAGTACACAGACAGACATACAGGCAGGCAGGTACACAGACAGACAGGTAAGTACACAGAAGGCAGGCAGGTAGGTACACCGACAGGTAGGCAGGCAGGTACACAGGCAGGCAGGCAGGGACATACAGGCAGGCAGGTACACAGACAGGCAGGCAGGCAGGTACACCGACAGGTAGGCAGGCAGGTACACAGGCAGGCAGGCAGGTAGGTACACAGACAGACAGGCAGGTAGGTACCAGACAGACAGCAGCAGCAGGCAGGCGGGTACACAGACAGACAAGACAGGCAGTCAGGCAGGCAGGTACCGACGGCAGGCACACCAGACAGACAGACAGGCAGGCAGGTACACCGACAGACAGGCAGGCAGGTACACGACAGGCAGGCAGGTACACAGACAGGCAGTCAGGCAGGCAGGCACCGACAGGCAGGCAGGTACAGACACAGGTACACAGGGCAGGCAGGTACACAGACAGGCAGGGCAGGGCAGGGCAGGACAGGCAAGGTAGCACAGACAGACAGACAGACAGACAGACAGGCAGGCAGGTACACAGACAGGACAGCAGGTACACAGACAGACAGACAGGCAGACACAGGACAGACAGCAGGTACAAGACAGACAGACAGGCAGTCAGGCAGGCAGTACACCGACACACAGACAGACAGGTACACAGACACAGGGTACAGGTCAACCGACAGGACAGACAGGCAGGCAGGTACACAGACAGACAGACAGACAGACAGACAGACAGACAGGCACAGGTACACAGACAGACAGACAGGCAGGTACACAGACAGACAGGCAGGCAGGGTACACAGACAGGCAGGCAGGTACAGGCAGGACAGGCAGGCAGGCAGGTACACAGACAGACAGACAGGCAGGTACACAGACAGACAGACAGGCAGTCAGGCAGGCAGGTACACCGACAGACAGACAGGCAGGCAGGTACACAGACAGACAGACAGGCAGGCAGACAGAGTACACAGACAGACAGGCAGGCAGGTAATACACAGACAGGACAGGCAGGCAGGTACACAGGCAGGCAGGCAGGCAGGTACACAGGCAGGAAGCAGGTAGTACACAGACAGACAGACAGGCAGTCAGGCAGGCAGGTACACCGACAGACGACAGAAGGCAGTACACAGACAGACAGACAGACAGTACACAAGACAGACAGGACAGGCAGGTACACAGACAGGCAGGAGGTAGTACCAGACAGACAGGCAGGCAGGTACACAGGCAGGCAGGCAGGCAGGACAGGCAGGCAGGCAGGTACACAGGCAGGCAGGCAGGTACAGACAGACAGACAGACAGACAGAAGGCATACAGACAGACAGATAGGACAGGTACACAGACAGACAGGCAGGCAGGTACACAGACAGACAGACAGACAGACAGGGACAGACACAGGCAGGCACAGACAGACAGAGACAGGACAGACAGACAGACAGGTACACAGACAGGCACAGGTGCACAGACAGACAGACAGACAGACAGACAGGTACACAGACAGACAGACAGGTAGGCATACAGACAGACAGGTACACAGACAGCAGACAGGTACACAGACAGACAGGCATACAGAGACAGCAGGTACGCAGACAGACAGGCAGGCAGTACACGACAGGCAGGCAGGCAGGTAGGCATACAGACAGACAGACAGACAGGCAGGCATACAGGCAGACAGACAGGCAGGCAGACAGGTACAAGACAGACAGCAGGCAGACAGACAGGCAGACAGGCAGGCAGGCAAAGACAAATAAGCAGGCAAACAGGTAGGCATACAGACAGACAGACAGGCAGGCAGGCAGGTACACAGACAGACAGCAGGCATACAGACAGACAGACAGGCAGGCATAAAGACAAATAAGCAGGCAAACAGGTAGGCATACAGACAGACAGACAGGCAGGCAGACAGACAGACAGACAGTAGGCAGGCGGCAGGTACACAGACAGACAGGCAGGCACACAGACAGACAGACAGGCAGGCATACAGACAGACAGACAGGCAGGACAGGACAGACAGCAGACAGACACAGGCAGGCAGGCATACAACAGACAGGCAGGCATACAGGCAGACAGACAGGCAGGCATACAGACAGGACAGACAGACAGACAGGCAGGCAGGCAGGTACAGACAGACATGAGGCAGGCATACAGACAAACAGGCAGGCATACAGACAACAGGCAGGCATACAGACAGGCATACAGGCAGGCATACGGACAGACAGACAGGCAGACAGCAGACTGACAGGTAGGCAGGCATACAGACAGACAGGCAGGCATACAGACAGACAGACAGACAGGTAGGCAGGCAAGTACACAGACAGGACAGACAGGTACGCAGACAGACAGGCAGGCATACAGACAGACAGACAGACACAGGCAGGCAGGGCAGACACAGACAGACAGACAGGCAGGCAGACAGACAGCAGCATACAGACAGACAGACAGGCATACAGACAGACAGACAGGCAGGCATACAGACAGACAGACAGACAGGCATTACAGACAGAGAAACAGACAGGTAGGCAGGCAGGTACACAGACAGACAGACAGACAGGTAGGCAGGCAGGTGACAGACAGACAGGTACGCAGACAGACAGGCAGGCATACAGACAGACAGGCAGCAGGCATACAGACAGACAGACAGGCAGGCAGGCATACAGACAGACAGGCATACAGACAGACAGACAGACAGACAGGCATACAGACAGATAGACAGACAGGCAGGCATACAGACAGACAGGCATACAGACAGA